TTTATCATGTTGAATAAATGGGGCAATCAACTAAGGTATCAATTACTATTGCATTCTACAATGTAGGAAAGACAGGGCAGCATTCATATAATTATGTACTATGATTTTATGTAAAGTTGGATTACACTGGAAAATATGCCCTTGAAAATATACATGTATAATTTGAAAATTAGCTCCATAACTAAAATATGTCCACTCTGGCTTTTATCATGGCAAAATATTTAAATCAATATGATGTTTTTTTTTTTTAATAAAAGCTTTTCTTTTATGCAGTAAAACAAAAACAGACCTACCCTATAATTATATATTTGACAATATGTGTCTGACTTCGGAGTTGATTATTTCTATGATTTTTGCATGTTAAAATGAAGGAGCTAATCAGACTTGAAGATTACAGGCTCTAAACCAGAATTATTTCTGATTATATTGGACTAGGTGTGATTCCCAGAATTATTTCTGATTTTATTGGACTAGGTGTGATTTAAATTTGGAAAAAATCTTTTAAAAAAACTATTGGAATTTCAGTGTTAAAATTCTAAAATTGAGTAGCGTAATGCACAAAGTTTGGTTAGACTTTTCAGAAAATGCAGGCTTTTAACAATCCATATCATGAGTATTAATAGTGGGTCAGTCAATACCAACACATAAAGTAGTGAAATAAAGAAGGTGAATTAGAAGTAGAGAGAAAAGTTGAAACCAGTCCATGTTTACTGATGTATACAATGTTCAGACACATTTACAACTGTAGTTTGTGTGAGCTGAGGTGAAAGACCATTGTTGTTTTCACTTAACTAAAGCTAGCTGAAATGTAAATGCCACATAACATGTATGATGATGTTAAAATTGGATTCTTCCTCTTCATCATATTGTTAAAACAGTTTTCTTTAGAATACTCTGGAAAGGTTTCAGGACGGAAAATGTTATAACATTTAAGCAGACAATTTTCTAACCTTCAATAACATAATCATTTACCGATTTTACAATGAATATAGTACCAAAATATTCTTTTATGAATATCAATTATATTCCATTGCCAATTGAAGTCCCGACTGCTTTGAGTTTGAGGAATACTTTAATAAAATATCCAATATCCAAATTATGATCAGTGAGAAAAGAATGCATGAATTTTAATATCCCTTAAAAAAAACATGGTGTCATTATCCAGGAAGATAATAAATGATTTAAATCAATTTATTCCCCGATTTAAATCAAAAACCCTTTTCCCGAAAAATCAAAAAAACACAATGTATTATTTTTGGGTTTAAATTTATTTAATTTTAAAATGGAAAATACATTTGGGGAAATAAAATTTTGTTTAGAAAGTAAATTTTTAATGGGTTTTCATTTTTCATCAACTTTCCTCAAGAAATAATGAACAATTCAATATTAACCATTATATCCTAACTACAGAAAAGCAGAAACTTAAGGTATTTAAAGCCCTGGTAAATAAATGTCCTGCCCTGTAGTGACTGTCAGAAAATATAATTCTCGCGCGTTGATTTTTTTTTAATTTTGGTTCCAAAAACACTGAATTAACAATGCATTTCCCAGACAGATGGCAGATAAAAACTGGTGATTTCATCCATTCTGCCGTAGGTGACGGGTTGCAATTGACTGCTGCATATAGGTATAAAACTCTTGCATTGCTAATTTGTGTAATGGACTTGCCCTACATTGAATTTGGATCCATCCATTGTTAGTCTGAGGGATTTCAACATTAAAATTTCAAGATGTATGTAGCATATCCAGCTAGATTGCACTTTTATTGCAAAGTTATTTAACACTGCCAAAATTAAAAAAATATAAAGTTTATGCAATAAATGTGAAAAATACATACAAAATTATTAAAAATTAAGTTGTCTTAGTTAAATTTATTTATTACTACGACTTACACCATTTATATCTCAGTATACATAGAACAAGAACTGTCGGAGGACAGTAACGCTCGACTATTCGAAAATTCATCACAAGGGTGTTTCATTGAGTATAATAATGCTTACCTATATAAATACATAAAATTGTCCGAAAAGGTACAAACCCTTCAGTAGTTATGGAGATACCAGCTTACAAGCAAAAATTTAACCTAGAATTTCTAAGTCGAAAAAGGGGCATAATTATGCAAAAAAGCAATCAGAGTTATGGGACTTGTGCCAATCATCTTAGATAATCACAAACAACAAGTGTGTGCAGTTTCAATACATTCCCTTCAGTAGTTATGGAGAATACCAGCTTACACGCAAAAACTTAACCAAGAATTTCTAAGTCGAAAAAGGGGCATAATTATGTAAAAAAAAGCAAACCAGAGTTATGGGACTTGTGCCAATTATCTTAGATAATCACATAGAACAAGTGTGTGAAGTTTCAATCCATTCCCTTCAGTAGTTATGGAGATACCAGCTTACATACAAAAACTTAACCAAGAATTTCTAAGTCGAAAAAAGGGGCATAATTATGTAGAAAAAGCAAATCAGAGTTATGGGACTTGTGCCAATCATTCTTAGATAATCACAGAGAACAAGTGTGTGAAGTTTCAATCCATTCCTTCAGTACTTATGGAGATACCAGCTTACACGCAAAAACTTAACCAAGAATTTCAAAGTCGAAAAAGGGGCATAATTATGTAAAAGAGCAAATCAGAGTTATGGGACTTGTGCCAATCATCTTAGATAATCAACAGAGAACAAGTGTGTGAAGTTTCAATCCATTCCCTTCAGTACTTATGGAGATACCAGCTTACACGCAAAACCTTAACCAAGAATTTCAAAGTCGAAAAAGGGGCATAATTATGTAAAAGAGCAAATCAGAGTTATGGGACTTGTGCCAATCATCTTAGATAATCACAGAGAACAAGTGTGTGAAGTTTCAATCCATTCCCTTCAGTAGTTATGGAGATACCAGCTTACATACAAAAACTTAACCAAGAATTTCTAAGTCGAAAAAGGGGCATAATTATGTAAAAAAGCAAATCAGAGTTATGGGACTTGTGCCAATCATCTTAGATAATCACAGAGAACAAGTGTGTGAAGTTTCAATCCATTCCCTTCAGTAGTTATGGAGATACCAGCTTACATACAAAAACTTAACCAAGAATTTCTAAGTCGAAAAAGGGGCATTATTATGTAAAAAAGCGAATCAGAGTTATGGGACTTGTGCCAATCATCTTAGATAATCACAGAGAACAAGTGTGTGAAGTTTCAATACATTCCCTTCAGTAGTTATGGAGATACCAGCTTACATACAAAAACTTAACCAAGAATTTCTAAGTCGAAAAAGGGGCATAATTATGTAAAAAAGCAAATCAGAGTTATGGGACTTGTGCCAATCATCTTAGATAATCACAGAGAACAAGTGTGTGAAGTTTCAATCCATTCCCTTCAGTAGTTATGGAGATACCAGCTTACATACAAAAACTTAACCACAGGGACGCCGACGCCGACAAATGGGTGACTGCATTAGCTCGATTATTCTGCGAATAGTCGAGCTAAAAATTGTGCAGTCTTTTGTAACAATGCAACAAAACATTAATTTTCTGACAGTGAAAAATAACCATTCATGTTAAATTCAGTATAAACTATATAATATAATGATATACTATATACAGAAAGAAGCAGGAAATATAAACTTAAGAACACTTAAAAGTCAAGACGTAGCTAGGCCATACCGTGTAGCAAAAATTCTGTGTGTTCACTTTTGTTTACACAATATATTATACATGTACTGATGCAGAAAAATTAAAATAATCAATAATATCCCGTCTTAAAACAAAATGAATGAAATGTTGAAATAAATATAAAAACCAGGCAATTAAAACGAACAATGGAATTACATTACATTATAATGAACTAGGAAGTTTTTATACCCACATAATTAAAGTGCCCAGCTTTCAATACTGTATCGGACACATAAAATTTATAATGTACATCAGTTTTATTAAAATCCTAATATAACTCCTTAAATTTCAAATTAAAAAGTTTAAAAAAAGTATTAATTATCAAAATTGCCTTTAATTAAGAAATATAGAATGCTCATATTTGAAATATATTAATGCAACACATTATTTAAAAGCCCTTAATTCACAGTTTAAAGATTTCAAGCTTATCAATTAACATCAAAATTAATATTTTCATCTTTTAAAATTCAAAATTTACATCCTGATTAAAATACATTTCATATTTTAAAATGTTAACTAGACTATAGAGTTTCATTGACTGGTTGCTTATAAGGAAATTTATTTTTCCTTTAGACACAAAAAATGTATTAAATGTATTAAATAAATTATACTCAGTGAACCATATAAAAATTGACACATTAAGCATTGAAAGAGAATAGAATTACAACTTCATCTTTTTAATATTAAGTTAATTCATTGCATTATTAAGTCGGCTTGGCAAGAAGGAAGAAAATAAGATAATGTGATATTAATAGTAATTTTTGTCCCAGATTATGTACTAACCTGGCTACCTTTCTTTAATTTAAACCCCAAATTGATGCTAATCATGTACATATCTTGAATAATCAGTGAGAAAAGATAACACCCATATCTTAAAATCTTAGATCAAAACTTTTGATAACAGTATAAAAGGCTTGACTTACCTAGGAAATCTAGAGTTAGCCATTTTTGTGACAATTTGTATGTTACATGTGAGATATACCTCAAGTGCTTAGTGCTGCCCTCTATCAATAATACACTGATAAACTATCAAGAAAGGGGAGAGAAATAGTTTCACTCCGTAAAGATGATTTTCAAGGGAAGTAACAGAATACTAACTTGTAACAGTTTAGTACTAATTATTTCCCTTGAACCAGAACACTTGACAAGTTGTTCCATTTATGTTGGTTGTCTAACATTTTTGGCTATATTTTTCTGACCATGTAGATTTGAACAAGAAATAAGCATGTGCAAATTTCAGTAGCAGAAAACATAACTGATGGATCTTTGGCAAAAAATATTATAAAAGTATTTATGAAATGATCATATATGAAAATCTAGACAGACCTACCTAACTTTTGTTGGACGTGGCTTCATCTGTACAAAATTTCCTGCATCACTCAGGCTTCGTCCCAGTGATGATTCCTTGGATGTCTTGCTATCACTAGACTGGTATACACATTTTAATCCTGAGTCATTATTATTTTCACTGACTGGTTTCAGTTCTGAACTACTTTTAGTGCTCTCGTTACTAGAATATCCACTGCTACTGGAATAGGACTCTATACTTCCTGCACTATTTCTTTTGTTATACAGTTTTTGTGGGGATGGCGTATCACTTATACTATTACGCTGCAATTTCATTGGTCCAGGACTAGTGTTTGATGTTTTGAAAATGCATTTCAGTCCCTCACCTGGTTCGCCATCAAAACTAGTGTCCTGAGACCCATTTGAAAGTTCTCCAGACTTTCTAAAGTTTGCGGGCGAGGTGACATTTGAGCCATATCCGAACATTTGTGGTCCAAAAAGAGCGCCATAACAGGGCTTGTGACAAAATGGAATTCCTTTGTGCTGAAATAAAAAAAAATGACATATAAATAATATACTTATGTTAAATTAGCATTCATAGAAAATTGCTCTTATATACAAAACTTTGATATGTCACATGATTGGGAAGCATCATAAAATAAAACTATACACTACTTTCTGGTACTTGAAGACAGTTATTCACTCATACTGCTTATAGTGAAATAATTGATTACATCTCGACAAAAATTAATATCTAATATTTACCCTATGTAAATCTAGTCCACTATTGTCTTCTGAGTTGACAGATTATTGAATTATTTATTTGTGGACAATCTCCGCAGATTCTGACACAAGACTAAAAGTTTTCAGAATCTAGCTCAAAATGTCAAATTATTTTAATAACCGTATATCTTGCTTCTAAGTATTGTCATGGACATGTTCAGTTTTGAAACTGGAAATTTCTATGGTAGTTTAAAAGGTTCCAATATCAAAAACATAAACTGAACATCTAATGTTCGGAAAAGTGTACCATGACAAGATTGCAACATTGCAAGATTGTGCGGCTCAAGCAGGGTTTTATACAGACTGGAACCAAAAGTGATTGGCTTTTGCCATCAGTATAGAACCAGACCAACCTAAAATTCTACCCAGTCTGACCAGGCTTTAATACTGCTGGCCTACTGAACTTGATATTCCCAACATTGATAATGGACAGTCCCAAAAATGGAAACTGGACTATTCCATTTAAAAAAACTTCAACAAAATAAAGGCAAGATGCATATAGGCATATCATAATTGCATTCAAAGAGCTACCAGTCAGAAAACAATGAGCCTATGTATTGATTCTGTCTAACCTTTTTAATCAATATAAATTACTTCTATTTGCTTACTTCCAGCCAGTGCCTACAAGTGATTTTTTTCTCCAGCATGGGACATTTACAATACAGAATTAGAAAATTATTTACAGAGCCTTTTCTTTTGACATCTAAGACTGATTTATAGGAAATCTATATAAACCTGGCGCATTGCTGTCAAGTAATAATGGCTGTAAGAAGTTGTCCATGTCACTACAGTGCTGTTTGACCAAGCTTTATACTGTGTTGGCAGTATAATTTTAGTATTTTGATATTGAAATCTGCAAAACAATTCCATAGCGATAACGGTAAAATGTAGCTGGGAATTACACTCGGGATCTTATAATCTAAAACTATAGTGAAACTAAATACAAATTCTTTGTGATCCAGGAGCAGAAAGCAAAATGTCACAGTAACTAAATATTGTTTAGAATCACTTGAACATGAACACTACTGATTCAAATCCATTTCTCAGCATGTTGAAGTACAAGTGGTTAAGGTCCCTCACATTGAATTACCTGCCCCTTCTCTGTAGGTTTGAATCTTGCTGCTAAGGACTTTTTTATGCAATTACGAAGCTATAACCCTATCTTACAAGAAGTACCGGTATGTGGCAATTTATTGTGCCAATCTAATTTTTTTTTTTTTTGACGACGTTCCAGCTTTAATGGTGGAGGAAGACCTCAGGTGCCCTTCCGTGCATTATTTCAGGCACAAACAGGCATTTGAGTAGAACCACCGACGTTCCGTAAGCAAGCTGGATAGCTTCCTCACATGAAAGAATCCAAAGTCCATGTCGGGATTCGAACCCACAGCAGTGAGGGGCAAGTGGTTTGAAGTCAATGACCCACTCGGCCATGTAAGCCCCCATCAATCTAATTAATACATGAAGGTGAAACAGAAGACTCTTTCTTAATCAGTTAAGATAAAAATTTCACTTGTGACATTAACAATGTCAATTTGATAAAAAAAACCAACAAGGATATTTTAATCAAAGACATCAGGCTTGTTTATACAAACATCACTGGTTTCTACACAGCTGCCCTCTCATCCCACAAAGAATGGATGGTTTTTATGTCAGCCAGAAACCTGCAGCCTTTCCTTATAATGCTCATGTGAAATATAATTTCAACAAAACAATCATACAACCCAACAAAACCAACTAAAAAACTAAACTAAACCAAAATGAAACAAACATAAAGGACAGCAATTTGTTAGATATGTTAAATATTTTGTATAAATTCATGTTGGCTGTGATTTTGAACAGCTGCATTCAATTATCTGATAACGAATAGAACTATCAATACTGGGCAAATCATGAAAAACAATGAAGGACTATTAATTGATACTGAACAAATCTTGACAAACTGACGAATTGGAAATTGAATAACTGTCAATTAATACTGAACAAATCTTTGAAAATCTGACAAATTGGAAAGTGAATTACTATCAATAAATACTGAATAAATTTTTCAAACTTTGAATGATTTGTCAAACTGGTAAGTGAATACATTAAATAAAGGACAATATTGCACTCAGACAAGCAAATATAGCTATCAATATTGAATATATAAGACATTAAAACCATGAGATATTTGTTTCCATGGCATATAACAGACAGAAAGCTGTCTATATGATATAATAATATATGCTCCAGACATTTCTGTGATACTGGTTTTATTTTACACAAATCGGCAATACATTAATATTTGATGACATTCACTAAATACCATACTTTACTTCCATGGGTTAGGAAATAAATCATACAAATACAATTGTCTGGGCCTCTGCTGAACTATTTAAAGCTGCATATCTCCAGCTAAAATATTTCAAGAAAAATTAAACTTGAGAAAAATATACTTGGATTTTAAGAAAAGTAAAAAGATTCTAGATTCAAGTAATTATTTACATGTAATATGCCATTAATGACTAATTTTTAAGTATCTACTGCATGACCAACATAGTCAAGGCTGTTTTTGCATAGCTTGACATTATTTTTGGTACATTGCATGGGTTGTAAGTGCTGTTTGCAATTATTTTTTTGTGCAATTACTTAATCTTTGTCCACTTTCTAATATTTCACTTTTAAAACATACATTTTCAATTTTTTTATGAAAATTAGCATGAATCTGGAGGAAAGCTGCTTTAATATTGAGAAGATAAAAATTCACATTTCATGTACATTTATATGATAACCTTATTCACTATTGTCATAGATTTACAACTAAACTTTGTATTTCTTGTACATATCTTTATCTTGATAACCTTAATAAATTTGTCCCATAGCTTCAAAAGAGCACAACTTCAGATTCAAGTTTTTTTGAAAATTTAAGATCTCTTTAATACTGAAAATATTGTTAAATGAAAATAAAAGGTATGTTAAAGTATCATAAAACATTAAATATTCACATAAATTACCTTAAAATGTTGTAAAATATGAAAAAAATAAATCAGCATGTACTGATATCAAGTTACTGCAGAACACCTGTAGTAAATTCACTCATATTTTGCATAATCTATCAAAATTTAATGTTGAGTGTTATAAATATGGGCTGTTTCTTACAACTGCTATTATACCTTTTAAAAATTATATTAACTAAATTTGTTATCTTGTCTACAAGCTTGCCATTTTAAATGAATATTTAAAGAAATTGTTAGTCCGGGTAGCTTTGGCCGTTTAATATGTACAACAGTGGTAACACATCTTCAAACTTTGAAATTTTCTGATCAAAATATAAGATCACATATTATTTTGACTAATTCAAGCACACCAATCATGTCAATTCACAAACATCTTGTGAGTTTCATAAACATTTACCCCGTGAACATATATATACTTAAGGACAATGAAAACGCACGGTCGGAATAATTGCATTTTAACAAGGAAAATATATTTCTCTTAAGTATTTTTTCACAGTTTCATAAAACCGAATGCATTCCGGTCATTTAGATACCAAAGTTATGAAAAATGATTGCATTTTAATGAAGTTATTGCATGATGAAGACAGTACCCGAAAAATGAAAAGTAACACTTTTGGCTAATTGTGATATAAGTTCACAACAGAAAACAGATTTAATCAATTCATGGTTACTTTATGAAATGAAAGTATTTTTTTTTTTTAAACTGTTAATTATTAACTTGTTTTTCACACCTTTCTAGAAATGTTAGACACATATCTGAGCAATTAAATTTTTTATGAAAATGAATATTAAACTAGGCCAATGGTCAGTTTTAGAAATCGTAGAAGCTCACATTGAAATTGCATATACACACTTTTCCTCTATAAAAGGTGCTTAATTTCAAACACTACTAAAGACTTGCTAGCAAATTGTATGCAATGATTCTACAAAGAATTAACCGCTGGGTAGATTTAGGACAGATTCAGTTTGGTCTGTCTTACAATCAAATTTTGTATTATCAAAGCGCCAACCGTTTTGGTGTCCATCGGTCTACAATTTCTCCGCTTCATCAGCGTTTTCGCACTACACTACAAGCTGAATGGCGTCAGATTCCACAGGCGACTAACCGCACCGTAGGGTCTATGAGGCGACGATGTCAACTGTAAGAGACGCTGATGGAGGATATTGTCGTTTCTAAAGATCATTACGAATAGACATTTATTATGAGTGATTTTTATTTTGGTTTTTGCCTTTGTTAAGTTTGCATTACTGTGATGAAAAAGTGTGATTTTGGGATTTTCACTCAGGTTCTTCGATTTACTGTTGTACATTTTATTTTAAACATTTTGAATTATTTTCAGTTGTTAAGTTTACGTTTTGTATTAAAGTTATGATTATATCTAATGGAGTCGTTAGTGTTTTGTTTTCATGTAATAAAATGCATATAGTGCGTGCGTGCGTTTTCATTGTCCTTAAGTATACATGTAAATAAAACTGTTATTAATGATTTTTTGACCTATTATTCAGCATTTTAACATTTCAAAATTAATGGGTAGTTAGTAAGTAAGTAAGTAACGACTTTATTTAATGAGGCAACACAGTTGGGCAAGCCCAGTCTTCCCTGTGGGCCTCAACAATATACAAAACAATTTACAAAATACATGTATAATACATCAATAAAAGATTAAATAATAACACAAGTAGATTTCATTATTATACATCAACACTGACATACTTTAGATCAACCTTGAAAAAAGAAGAAGAAGAAGAGAGAAAAAAAAAAAATGA